ATAGAATAGAATAGAATAGAATAGAATAGAATAGAATAGAATAGAATTCCTTATTGGCCAAGTGTGATTGGACACACAAGGAATTTGTCTTGGTGCAAATGCTCTCAGTATACATAAAAGAAAAGACAGTCAAGAATCATAAGGAATTACTGGAAGAAAATCAAAACTTGGTTGGAAGAAATTACAAAAGAGCAGATCGACTATAAACCAGAGTCCTTCCTACTAGGGATCTTTGACAAACAAATTTCCAAAAAAGCTAAATACATAACAATACACATCTTAACCGCGGCCAGATTAGCCTTCGCTCAATATTGGAAACAACATCAAATTCCACCAGATGAAGTGATTATTGATAAAATTTCAAAATGTGCAGAAATGGACAAACTGACTTTGGCACTAAAAAACAAAGATACTTCACTATACTATGATAGTTGGAATTGTTGGTATAATTGGATTGATCAAAGATAAATTATATACCATAAGGCATAAGAGGAAAGAATGCTTTTAACTTTTCTTCCTTCTTTTTCTTTCTTTTTTCCTTCTTTTCAACCTTTTCTTTTCTTTCTTTTCTTCCTTCTTTTTTCTCTCTTTTATTTGTGTATGTATCGTTGGTTGTTTTTAATTGTAAAAACTAATAAACTGTTTTAAGAAAAAAAAAGAATCATAAGGTACAACACTTAATGATAGTCATAGAGTATAATAAGCAATCAAATCATTCTAGGAAACAGTCTTATTGTTAATAACAGTCTTATTACCAATATTTCTTATTAACTCACCTTGTCCCGCCTTCTCCTTTTGTGAAAAGGTATAAAGCTTTCTAAATCTTGTTTCTTGGCATTTTGGCCAGGAGCCCTTTTCCTTGGAGTACTCCAATAAAAAGGCAATCAGAAAACCTGCACCTGGTGCCTGGCGTCCTTCATTCGGCACCAGGCTTCGGCACCAGGCTCAGACCCGAATTTGGGATAACACCTTTCTTACAGCCATGATGGGGGTTCATATCCACTGACTTGGCAGCTCATAATCAAACCATAGTGAGCTCCTGAGCATTAAAACAAATTTAATAACTGAAATACAGAGGAAGGTTCTCTCCCTTTCTTAGTCTTTATATTTATTGAATTCAGGTCACCAACTCAGTACAGCTTACATAGGAGTAGAAAATCCAGTTTGGTTTAAAGATTAAGGCACCAGATTAGAAACCAGGCACCTGAGTTTTATTGTTTTAAGAGTGTAATCTAGCTGGGTGGACTTTGGATCAGTCACTCAATTTCAGCCCAACCCTCTTCACAGCAGTGTTGTGTTGAAAATGTGCCAAGGGGGACTTGTTAAGTAAGTTTTGCCCTGCTTTATAACTTTTATTTTCACTGCAATTGTTAAGTTAGTAATATGGTTACCTGAATCTGGCTTCCCCATTGACTTGACTTGTGAGGTCACAAAAGATTATGAAGACCCTTAGGACACTGCAACCACCAAAAATACAGTATATGAGCTATTTGAAGTCTTTGGATTTTGATCACAACCATGAGGTCCCAAGTTGAAAAACAGTCATTAAATATTTTCAGTGACACAGTCACTAAACAATGTTATAGGTCAAGAACTGTACAGTATTAGGCTTGTTCACAGCCTTGACTTATTTATGAAATCTATGAAAGGCAGGATTTTAAAAAAAAATCTGTATCAAAAAGCAACTGCAAGACCAGATCTGGAAGCCATGCTGTCAATCCATAAACCCTTTTGTAATTTTATTTGCATTTAAATTCAGCACAAGATCTTACTTTTTTAAAAGGGTATGTTGAATGTTAGGAAAGATAAAACACTGCCATGCTGTACAGCTTCAGTGATTAACAGTTCGACCTATACTATAGGTATGTACATTTCTGCTACGTTATTTTTTAAACAAGAGCCCTATCTTCGCATTTTGTTAATAACGAAGAATATCTGAGACAGACCCAAGTTTTTAAGTTAGCGAGGACACAGAACAAAGTAGCGACTTCAAACTCTTTCACGGGGAAGTGGATGGCTCTTAAAAGAGCCTTTGGGGTTTCTCAAATCGCCTTTCTGCGCAGCGCAGCCGCCTCACTTGGAGCTTGTGTATTTGGTGACGGCCTTGGTGCCTTCCGACACGGCGTGCTTGGCCAGTTCGCCGGGCAGCAGGAGGCGCACGGCCGTCTGGATCTCCCGCGAGGTGATGGTGGAGCGCTTGTTGTAGTGGGCCAGGCGGGACGCCTCCCCCGCGATGCGCTCGAAGATGTCGTTGACGAAGGAGTTCATGATGCTCATGGCCTTGGAGGAGATGCCGGTGTCGGGGTGGACCTGCTTCAGTACCTTGTAGACGTAAATGGAGTAGCTCTCCTTCCGGCTCTTGCGCCGCTTCTTGTCCCCCTTCTTTTGGGTCTTGGTCACCGCTTTCTTCGAGCCCTTCTTGGGCGCGGGAGCAGATTTCGCCGGCTCAGGCATTGCGAATAAGTCACTTCCTAATAAATGCTAATAGGAACAACAACTGTCCGAACTTCCTCGCACTCAGAAAATCTAGACGCTCCGTTTATCTCGACGAAACTGAGACAGAACAACTTCCGTCTTCCCACTATTTAAAGGGCTCCTATGCAAATAAGGGTAGCTGCACTCCTCTGTTTTCATTGGCTGGTGTAGCCCCGCGCAGTTTCGCTCTGCGCGCGCAGATGCAAATGAAGAGGGCTGCGATACTATGGTTGCTATTGGAAGGGGGACGGTTTCAACTCGTTCGATTGGTTAGGTTGACAAACCTGCCTTCGTATTGGCTAAGAAAGCCTGACGCCTGAGCAGCCAATCAAACCGTGCAATCTCAGGCTTTGGAAAAGCATAAAAAGGCCCCCACCGTCCGCTCATCTCTAATCACTGCCAGCTTATTTAGAGCTTTTGGTGTGTTGTGCTTGGCTCAGGAAGGAACAACATGTCTGGTCGTGGCAAACAAGGCGGCAAGGCGAGAGCCAAGGCCAAGTCTCGCTCTTCCCGTGCAGGGCTTCAGTTCCCGGTCGGTCGCGTCCACCGCTTGCTGCGTAAGGGGAACTACGCCGAGCGGGTGGGCGCCGGCGCTCCAGTCTACCTGGCGGCGGTGCTGGAATATCTCACGGCGGAAATCCTGGAGTTGGCCGGCAACGCTGCTCGGGATAACAAGAAGACCCGCATTATCCCCCGTCACCTGCAGCTGGCCATTCGCAACGACGAAGAGCTCAACAAACTCCTGGGCAAAGTGACCATCGCTCAAGGGGGCGTGTTACCCAATATCCAAGCGGTCCTCTTGCCCAAGAAGACGGAAAGCCACAAAGCGAAAGGAAAATAGGAGTTGCTCTGAAGAAAAGGAACACTGAATTTCAAACCCAAAGGCTCTTTTCAGAGCCACCTACAATTTCAAGTAAGGAGCTGAGTCTCACGTATCGAACGAGGTGTTCCCTTTCAGATCCAAAGTATGTCCTCGGAGCTGGCACTTCCTTAGCCCAGGGCTTGCGTATGGTCGCGGATCGTGCTTTAGCAAGCAGATTTAGAAAAGCCCACCTGTTAACAGAAGGCTTCAGCTCTGTTACATTCCAAACACCCAGCGCTTAACTATTAGAAGCATGAGGATAGGGGGGTAATCTCAACAAATCGCAGGCGGGATTATTCAAACTCGGCCGCTTTCCTTCGGGGAGAACCTCTTTTAATCTAAAATTCTGATCCATAACTTGCCAAAGGGCATTTAACCGTAGAATCCCTTCAGTATTAATTTTTAAAAACAAGTTGGTGATCAGAAAGGTGTGTATAAAATCTTTCAAACCTAAAAGAGTGATCTCAATGGCTTCATAATAGTAATTTTACACTTGGAAAAAGCAAACCTGGGGTGCCCCAATTCTAGGAGAGCCCCGATCGACCCGTGTGGAACTTTCATGGGCACGTCCATGCAGATTTGGGGAACAACGTGGAAGTACTTGCTTTCTTTCCAGTCTCTACTTTTGGCCTTTTCTAGTAGCCGATCTTGGTTGATTTTAGAGATCAGGTAAAGTATAGTATGCCAGTGGATCATAATGAAAAACTATATAACAAGATCGTGACTAATTAACTAACAAATTATTCTACGTAACAAGTGCTTAAAATGAGTGAAAAATGAAACGAAAAATATAATGGAATACACTTGGAATAAACTCTTGCAATACAAGTTTATATGCTCTCCCATTGTTTAGGCAACATAGAAATGCACATTGGTCTTAATGGTGACATACGTTTATTAAATATCTTTGTAATAAACTCAATACACAAAAAAATAGAATTTGTAGTACTCTTCCCTTCTCGTTTTTCCCTACAACTACCCTGCGAGGTAGGCTGGACTGAGCCAAATCACTCATAAATTTCTATGGCTGAGGGATTAGTTCCGGGGTCTCATTGGTGCCACACGCTGGTTATTATCCACAACTGCTAAACATTTTCACCAATTCAAAATTAGAGCAACACTTTTGCAAATTATATTCATCCGCGCTAAGTAGATGAATGTACAAAAAATACCTTGGAGCTTTTTAAATCTGGGTTGCAAAAATATGGATAACTGGCTTACAGAGAGACCTAAAAAAACAAAACCCTCCAACTCCTTGTTGCCATCTATAGGCGGTCCGGATTTTTGCAGCTCAGAAAGGGGCCCTTGATCTGTAAGATTATTTGTGAAGACACTATTACCCAGAGCTTAAAAGAATTTGACTGTCCTATTGCTGACGTATCCATTCGAGTACAAAAGAGGCAAGAGAGGAAAAAGAGTGAAACATTATAGCCAATCCCTTCCAAGCCCGGGAAATTCGAAAGTACTCAGCCAATCAAGAGAGGACGACTCTGCTATAAATACTCCGCCTTCAAAAGACTCGCCTGTTTTCTGCTTTCTACTTCATCGGGATCGGTTCCTCTATAGGCGAACAATGGCTCGTACTAAACAGACTGCTCGAAAGTCTACTGGAGGAAAAGCTCCTCGTAAGCAGTTGGCTACCAAGGCTGCCCGAAAAAGCGCTCCAGCCACCGGCGGGGTGAAAAAGCCTCATCGTTACCGCCCCGGCACTGTTGCCTTAAGAGAAATTCGTCGTTACCAGAAATCGACCGAGCTGCTCATTCGCAAGCTCCCTTTCCAGCGTTTGGTGAGAGAGATCGCCCAAGATTTCAAGACCGACCTCCGTTTCCAGAGCTCCGCCGTCATGGCCCTGCAGGAAGCCAGCGAGGCTTACCTCGTGGGCCTCTTCGAAGATACCAACCTGTGCGCTATCCACGCCAAGAGGGTGACAATTATGCCGAAAGACATCCAGCTGGCGCGCCGCATTCGCGGGGAGAGGGCTTAAGTGGCCCTTTCGCCAGTTGCGCAAGCGCAACAAGACAATCCAAAAGGCTCTTTTAAGGGCCACCCACGTATATCAAGGAAAGAGCTGTTTCGCTGCCGCTTCTTTTAAAAATGGCTACTCGCTTTGTGTGTGTGTGTGAGGGGGGGCGGTTATACTATTGCTTAGAGCAGGGGTGTCCAACCTTGGCAACTTTAAGACTTGTGGACTTCAACTCCCAGAATTCCTCCCCCAGTCATGTTAGCTCAGGAATTCTGGGAGTTGAAGTCCACAAGTCTTAAAGTTGCCAAGGTTGGACACCCCTGGCTTAGAGCTTATAGTGTTAACAGTATAGTGTTAACACCACTGGTTTCCCCAAAATCTGAGTTTGCAAATGTGTATTCAACATGGCAAGGGATTCTTAATGGACCACGGAGTGGTAGTTTGCATTCTTGACACCCACATCACTTAAGTTTTAACTGGGTTATGGAAAGTGACCTGGGAGGAGGCGGGAGGCTATGGGTATTCCTTTTTTTAAAAAAAAAAAATGGGGAGCTGCGTTTTTTCATGACTTGAGCCAATGAAACATGTTCAAATATTTGGCTAACATGTTGCAATGGTTCACACAGTATATCTCGATGCAAGACTTTAAAATGCTACAGTGTCACTGGAGTTTGATACCTTTAAAAGAATTAGTGCTTGCTTCAGAAAAAAATAATATTTCAAACATCTGGTGTTAAAGACTCAGATAAATTCAGAATTGTTTCAATAGGCTTTGTGTGTGTGTGTTTAAGCCACCTTGATGCTATATATAAAGGTTTCCTACTTGGACATTTAAAGATCCAAATTTTCTGGCAGTTAAATGTTTGCACTCTAATACTAAAATACTAATACTAATAAAATAGGAATTTTGCAAATTGGATCAATCACAAATGATGCTCAATTCTTTGTCCAAGGAAATAATACCCAGAGATTTCATTGTAGGAAGACATTTTGGGAGGGGGCTGCATTTACTTTTGTAAGCTTTTCTGATGAAAAATATGCATCTTGGTAAGCATGTATATGACTTATTGTAGTTTTGCTTCTTTCTGTCAGCTTTACAAGGTTTTTATGTGAATCTCATATTCAATAGCATACACCAGTTGCAATTAAAGTGTTTGCAAGGAGCATGTTTTAAATAATTGGCTTTTGGGGCTAGTGTTGGGCAATCTATTTCAGACTGGAGACATTTGAATTTTGACATGTACTCTGCCCAGACAGCTACTGTGGGAGATTTTCATTTTCCCCAAATAATTTAATCTGATGGGCAATGCTTGTTGAATATATATATTTATAGGAATTAAACTTATATTTCTATATGTGATTGCATGACCTCTGCAGATACATCATACACTTAAATAAAAATTCATAGGAATTACTTTTCTAGGATGATCTCTACTATTATCAATAGGAGCTACGGGGATGTGTGATATTTTTCCTTGTAGTGTTTCCATTTTTTTATTAAAATGATAATTTAAAAGAAAAATCAGGGTGAACCTGATTATGGAGCATTATGTAAGTGATTTATACCCACAGACCTCAGAATGCCTATCTCAGACAGAAGCTTTATCACATCAAATGATATGGGCCTAGGTGGCACAGTGGTTAGAGTACAGTGCTGAAGGCAACTTCTGTCAGCTGCCTGCAATTTAGCAGTTCAAATCTCAAGGTTGACTCAGCCTTCCATCCTTCTGAGGTGGGTAAATGAGGACCCAAAATTGTTGGGGGCAATAGGCTGACTCTGTAAAACCACTTAGCGAGAGCTGTAAAGCAGTATATAAGTCTAAGTGCTTTTGCTATTGCTAAATATCCATCTCATCCAGGATTTGCTTTTTATCAGTGACCCAATAAACTGCTGCAAACAATGTGCAGACTGGCATTCTTGTTTCTACAGCGCTATTCTGTCCATGCTGGCTGCACTTAACAGCCACTATGGAAAAAATATCAGCAAATTGGCAGTCAACCATCGATGAATTTTTGTTGGAAAGCCGGCATGCTTTTAGAAGCACTTGCTTTTATTTAATGGACTTTTGGGGCTCTCATAACAGGATTTGGAACCATCTTTTGGATGCAACTTTGGCACACAGAACAGAAGGCCTTTGAAGCTGCTTTCCCTCCCCCACTTCAGAAAACTAAAGCATTTCAACATGTGTGTAGAGGATCTGCTTGAAAGAATGGGAGAGGTTCTAAACCCCTTCTATCTTCCCTTGAGGGTTTTGCATTTGAACCAACTATAGAAAACTGAAGTTCAAATAAGGAGAAAACTAAAAGACCTATAAACCAGATATACTCTACGAAGGACTTCATAATTACAGCCTAGGACATGACTGTTTTGAAAGGAAATGTAAATAGGAAGAGCTGCCAGCCCAGCTTGTTGAGTATAAACAAGCTCCTTTCCATATACAAAGGGAAGGAATTTAATGCATCTCCTGTTGGTGTTCCTATTGTCTCACGCATCCCAGAAAATTAGGATTGCTTTTCTTCAGCAGACATCTTTCAGGTACCATTCGTGATTTATCTTTGAGAAAAGGCAGAGAACTTCACATTCTGTTCTTGTCCAGGTATGTTGTATTTATTTAAAACAAAACTGCAGAAGATAGCCGTGGAAGATTCAGAAGGGGGCGTGCATAAGTGCACCAACGTGCCTACCGTCCCTGTCCTATTGTTTCTCTTATTCTTTTATTTTTCTTATATGTACCCATTTCATGTATTCATAACTATGTATACACTTATACTTATTATCTTGTAAACAATTGGCAAATCAAATTAAAAAAAAAAAAGTCCAGAGCGAAAGAGGACACCAAAGCATTTTTTAAAATAGAACTACAAATGCAGGGAATCCTATTGTGATTTGGTGGCTAGTTTTGAGGAAGCTGCATCGATGTTTGTCCATGTGCTTGTTATTAATTTCTATTGTTAGGCAAAGCAGCCCTTTCAGGAGCAACAATTGAGCTGAGTAAGTCCATTAATAAAGGAGATGGAATGCTGAGATCATCTGCTGATGGCCATCAGCAGATGGAGGAGGAGGAAAGATTTGAGTGTCTCGCCTAACTCCTACTATGTTGTAACTCCTTTGTTAGGGATGCCTTTGGACGGTGCTGTGCGTTGGGGAGGAGGCTTCTATTCTTTGGTGCAGATGGGGTTACAGGGAGCTTTGGAGGGGCAGGAAGAGTCAATCTGGGTCTGATAAGATTAGGTTAAAAAGAGGAACTAGTTTGCACTTACCATTGTGTTTGTTAGATCTGTTTGTTATCACCAACCATCTCAAATTCATGATTACATTCTCTACCACAATTCTCTACAATCCAGATTCTAAACATTAATTTATGAAATGTTTCAAACCTATTGATTTTCTTGGTGTCAGAAATGATTCACTTCCTTTTACTCCACATGTTTTTTATTTATTTATTTATTTATTTGATTTGCCAATTGTTTACAAGATAATAAGTATAAGTGTATACATAGTTGTGAATACATGAAATGGGTACATATAAGAAAAATAAAAGAATAAGAGAAACAATAGGACAGGGACGGTAGGCACGTTGGTGCGCTTATGCACGCCCCCTACAGACCTCTTAGGAAAGGGGTGAGGTCAATAGTAGACAGTCTAAGGTTAAAGTTTTTGGGGTTTGGGGAAGAAACTACAGAGTCAGGTAGAGTATTCCAGACATTGACCACTCTATTGCTGAAGTCGTATTTCCTGCAATCAAGTTTGGTGCGGTTAACTTTGAGTTTGTATCTATTGTGTGCTCTTGTGTTGTTATGGTTGAAGCTGAAGTATTCATTGACAGGTAGGACATTGCAATGTATGATTTTATATACAATGCTTAAATCAGACCGAAGACGGCGTAATTCAAGGTTTTCTAGTTCTAGAATTTCAAGTCTGGTGGCATAAGGTATTCTACAACGAGTAGAGGAGTGGAGAACTCTTCTTGTGAAATATTTCTGGACTTTCTCAATTGTGCTAATATCAGATACGTAATGTGGGTTCCAGACTGATGAACTGTATTCGAGTATTGGTCTAGCAAATGTTTTGTATGCTCTGGTTAGTAGTGTGATATTACCAGAGAAAAAGCTACGTAGGATTAGGTTAACAACTCTTAATGCCTTTTTGGCTATGTAGTTGCAGTGGGCTCTAGCACTTAGATCATTAGAGGTGAGTATTCCAAGGTCCTTTACAGAGCTTGGGTCATCAACAAGATCTTGACTATTCAGCTTGTATTTTATTTTCTGATTTTTTTTGCCAATATGTAAGACAGAGCATTTATTTGTTGAGATTTGAAGTTGCCATTTGTTTGACCATTCTGATACATAGTCAAGATCTTTTTGTAGGGTAGCAGTATTGTCTGTGGTATTGAACAGCT